ATGCCCAATGGAAGAGAAGCGCCCCAATGAGGTGAAGCGCCTCGCCAAGGTGAAGCACCAAACGGAGCAGAAGTGCCTTCGAAATAATATCCTCAAAGACGTGAAACGGGTCATGGAAAAGCGCCTCCTTGAAGAAACGCGCTTCATGGAGGAGAAGCGCCTTCGCGAGGTGAAGCGTCTCAAGGAGAAGCATCTGGAGGAAGAGAAGCGCCTCATAGATGTGAAGCGGGTCGAGGAAGAGAAGCGCCTCATGGAGGAGAAGCGGGTGGAAGAAGAGAAGCGCCTTGTCGAGGAGCAGCGCCTCATTGAGGTGCAGCGAGTCGAGGAAGAGAAGCGCCTCATGGAGGAGAATCGCCTCTTTGAGGTGAAGCGTCTCATAGAGCTGAAGCGTCTTGAGAAAAAAAATAAGCGACTTGAGGAGAGGCGCTTTCGCAAGGTGAAGCTCCTCGAGGAGAAACGTCTCATGCAGGAGAAGCGCCTCGTTGAGGTGAAGCGTCAAGAGGAGGAGGAGCACTTGATGGAGGAGAAGCGTCTTGTGGAGCAAAAGCGCCTCGAGGAAGAGCAGCGCCTCGCCAAGATCGAGCGACAATGGCTCCAGACCGATACCACCAGCAGCAGCACCACTACTACTGACACCACCTCCACCACCGCCGCCATCGCCGCCGCCACGTCCTCCAATCCTGTGTGGGGCCCAATTGCTCCGAGCTTTGGAGAAGAGGGCTTCCAAGAAGATAAAGCAAACTCCGGAGTCGCTGAGCCACGGTAAAGCACTCTGCGTGTGCGCCCTGTGTGTTTATTTTTGTTATTTATTGCCATGCTTCTCACGCAGCATCAGCCTTACTCGGTCTCAAGACTTTTTTTCAGGAGGATCCTGCCAAGTTTGCTCGCATTTTTCAAGAAAGTTGCGACTGTTTGCGATCCAAATTGAACAATTTGCATTGCTTGTGTGGGTTTAGTAACAGGGAGAAAGCTGCAGAACATTCCCAGAACAGGTGGCTGCACAATCCACACGGAGAATGTGGCCAAACGTGGAAATCAAACCCAGGTCAATGTTGCTGTGATGCACAGGTGCTCAAGCCCTGTCGCGCTCTCAAAATTCACAGACACTGCAAACTCCACGTGTACATTCCGCTATACTGAGGACAGATTTATTTTTCATAACTGGTTTCTGGGTTAGACCACATAACGAAGTGGGCATATCTTCACCATGTAACCCTCCATCCACCGTGAGATTTTCGCTGTCTATCGCCTGTTTCTAGGCCATTTGCCAAGTCGCCTTGTAATGCACAGCGACAGCTACCACTGAGAGGGGTGTCCAATTTAAAACGCGATGAGATGAGAGATGCGAGAGGCTCATCGCATGCAATGCACTCTGAGATGTCTTCGACGTCAAGGGAGGTGGCTCTCTCGACCACAAATCACCGACGGACACTTTTTTGAAATCGTGGATGTGTTGAAGCGGCCAAATGGTCGTGCACTCATTCTTCACAGCTTACAGTTCAGATCTTGCCTCACGCCTTGGCTATTATTGCTGCTGCATTGACCACACAGATCCACACCCATTCCGTCACAGTGGACGTTCAGGATCTCTATCGATGCCATTTGAAATGCTTAGGACATTATGTGCAAGGGGTCAATTAGAATATACAAATAGAAAAATGTCAATCTAGATTTGAAGTTGTCGTGACTACAGGGATCCATACTCTTTGGTTATATCGTTAAATTCACGTAGGTATGAAATAAAATAAATTAAATTAAATCACGACGTTTCGATGGCCATGTCGTTATTGCAAGAAAGTTTCTTGCTGTGGTTTTCCCACCTGATGATGATTGCTTGTGTTGCAATCTAAACGTTGTGATTTAATTTATTTTATACCGACGTGACTTTACCGAAAGAACCAAAAAAATTTCACTTCAAATTATTCAGCTAAATTTGCACAGCAACGCCACCCACTACTGTGAAACTACAGCAGTCTGTGTGGGACACAGCTGCACCTATCTCAAGGATAGCCTGGTGCCATGAGAATGACAGCACCAATACTAAGCACACTCACTGGCCATGTCGTTATTGCTGTTTCTATTCAGCTCGAATTAATCCGCCACACATTCCACCCACGGACGATGGGAAGATGGCGATGTCTACCGTAGCAGCAAGGTGGAACGGTGTCGTGTTTGACAGACAACCATCACAGTTTTACCATGTCTAGTGGTGGTCTCCCAGTTACAGGTTGAGTCAAGACTAAGAATATGCAGTCTATTCTTAGTCTTAAGCCTCACCTTACCATATTAATAAAAGTATGCGGCCCTTGCCCCACCACCTTCTCCAACCATTATATAAACGGAGTGGTAGCTAATGCAATCTCTCATTTACTTGATACAGCTGTCGTGGCTGTGACGGTACCACCTTAAGACGGAAGCTTGTGTTGCCTCCGAAACGTCGTGATTTTTATTTTATTTTTTATTTTACTTTTTAATGTTTTTTACCTACGTGACTTTACCGAAAAAACCTAAGAATATGAATCATTGCAGTCACGAAAGCTTCAAATCTAGAACGGTGTCGTGTTGTCTCTTCACAGATCTGAGCCAGCTCAGCCCTCCTCCTCACTCGTCCAGGCCTTTGAAGTGAAGACAGAGGTTGTGGAGAAGGAGACGAAGGAAGAGGTGAAGGAGATGGAGGATGAAGTAGAGACGGAGGAAGAGAAGGCAAAGGAGGACGAGATTGTGATGGTGACAATGGAGGAGAACACGGAGGGAGAGGAGGAAGACAATACAGAGATGGAGGACAAGGAGACAACAAAGGATGAACAGATGGTCGTGGTGGAGGACATGGAGACGACGGACAAAGGGGAAACAATGGTGGTGGAGGAGGAAGAGAAGACGGTGGTGGAGATGGTGGTGCCGGAAGTTGAGGAGGAGATGAAGGAAGAAGAGATGGTGCTAGCGGAGGAGAAGAAGATGGAGAAGATGGAGGTGGCGCAGGAAGAGGAGGAGGTAGAGGAGAAGATGGTGGAGGATGAAGAAGAGGGGGTGGAGGAGGACGAGACGGAGGAGAAGATGGAAGAGGTGCAGGTGGAGATGCACGAAAAGAAGAGGAAGCGAGGGGGCCTCGCTCGCGTGGCGAGAACGATCGCCTCACTCCTCCGCCGCGTGCTGCTTTGTGGTGGCAGGTCCACCGCCCAGTAGGGGTGGTGGCGGTGGTCGTGCATCGGTGCCGACCGTGACCACTATCACCACACTACCCGCCCACCCCGTGATACTCGCTACACACACCACACGGTTCCCCAGAGAGACGGTGCAACGTTCAGGTCCAGAATACCGAAGTATACCGGGAATCACCTGTACTTAAAAACACGTAAATTGATAACACTATAAACAATAACACTAAACATTAAACGACAAAAAAAGCTACCAACTGGTTTTATAATTTATACCACCATAAACGGAGCTACGGTATTTTAATTTCATTAGAAGTATTATAATGGAACTCTACACATGTTTGTTAATTGTCCGTTCAATCGAACCGACGGTCGGATATGTGAACTGTGGGGGTCGAGGGTAAGAATGGCATTCAAATTTTAGAATGACAATTTGGTCGTTTTAGCAAATTACTGTACTTGAATGTATGTTATGTGCAAATGCAAATTGTTAGTCGTAAATGCGAGGGAGGGGTTAAGAGGTGCACGTTTAATCCAGTGTTAACATTTATTTTAGCATCATATTTAAGGACACTGTTGTTGATAAGAATTCGTCTGGACATGTTACGTGCCTTGTTCTACTCGATCAACCAAAATTAGTACAATGTCGGTCATACAGGAGTGTGATTTCATTCATGAGTAGTATTCACAGAGCCCCGATGACACTAACCTACCTAAGGTTATGGTTAAAAAAGTAATCTTGAGTGACTTAATTCTGAGCTCAGACATGATCATCGCAATCATTTCCAAAGACGTGTGGGGTCCTGCGAGAGCAGGTCCCGACTACAAACAGCTGGGCAGCAGAATCGGAAGTAGCTGCGTTACCCTCGAAATGTGATGTTGCTGCTGTTCTTGCTGTTGTAGTTGCTTCTGTTGCTGTAATAATCGCAGAGAGGTGGTGTTCCGTGATGGGATGACGCCTTTGATTAAAGCCTCTGTTCAAACTCACCCGATTGACGCCCTTGATCGTCGCATTTTATCAACTCTGATATTGTAGACTCTCACATGTTAAGCTCTATCATAGTGAAACATAATATTATAACCTATGAACTACAACCTATCCATTGTAACGCTGTAAAAGAATATTACCTATTGGGTTTCACTCCCTCGTCGAGAAGGCCGCTCTCTTCCTTTTCTAAAGTTACATGCTAATTTCTCTGCATTCACTTTAAATCGAGGACAAAGTTTTTCCATTTATTCAAAATAAGCGCACAATTACACACTGAGATGCACTTACATATTCATGCATGAAGTACAATGGACACATTACTCTTCGGTATGTTAATAGACATGCGGATTGTACCTTCCAAAATTAACAATCGAATGGAAATATCCTGAAAGACAAAGGATTGGATCCTAGGGGGGGAGTTATAAGGCGGCTCAGAAGCAGAGCTCAATGCCATTTCGAGAGGGAACTTGATGAGGTTGGACGCTCGACTCGTCGCTCTGCTGATCGCCCTTCAACCGCGAGACAACGCAGCCTGGCGAGCACAATTGCTGAGTCGACAGTTAGGCGACGTTGCGTCGGGAGAGTTCGTGGCGACATCTTCAGACGGGTTCCAGACATCGATATACCGTGAATCTCCAAGTAAGTGTCTATTTTCGCGGATAAACTCTTAAACGTTTTCGTCGTTGAATTAGCGGGATTTTTTTTCGTCTTGGTTAGACGCGAGCGTCGTTCTTGTTTTATCAATTAACAAAATCCAAAACTCAACGCTAAACATCCTTGCGACCGATAGCGTACTTTTGACTCAATAACACCGCTGCTGTTACTACGCTCACATGGAGCAGAGACGCTCTCCACAGCCCCACGCACACGGAGGCAAGAAGCCATTCAATTGCTCTGTGTGTGGTAAGTCCTTTTCACGGCCATCACATCTTCAGAGACACCAGAGAACACACACGGGCGAGAAGCCGTTCCTGTGTTCTGTGTGTGGGAAGACATTTTCACAGTCATCAACTCTTCAAAACCACCAAAGAACACACACGGGCGAGAAGCCATTCCTGTGCCCTGTGTGTGGGAAGACATTTGCACGGTCATCACATCTTCAGAGTCATAAGAAAACACACACGGGCGAGAAGCCATTCCTGTGCACTGTGTGTGGGAAGTCATTTTCACAGTCATCAAAACGGAAGAGTCATCAGAGAACACACACGGGCGAGAAGCCATTCCTGTGCCCTGTGTGTGGGAAGACATTTGCACACTCATCACATCTTCAGCGTCACCAGAGAACACACACGGGCGAGAAGCCATTCTTGTGCCCTGTGTGTGGGGAGGCATTTGCACACTCATCAAACATGAACAGGCATCAGAAGGTCCACAATGATAGGAAACTGAAATCAAAAGCTGAAATTCAAGGTGCTGCAATGAGTCCTGAAGAAGTTTCCACCTTCGATCCCATGCAGTTGGATCCCGAGAGATGGCTGGATGTAATGGAGTGGCTCGAGAGTCAACCAGAGAGCTCGGGGTGACTGAAAAAAATTAAGTCATGTGGTTATACCTTTTAATCCCTATCGAGTACTTTTTGGTTATAATTTTGACCATTTTAGTTTTACAGTTTTTGTGAGTTTAATTACGTGCACAGTGGTGGTTTGTAATGTTATCGGATTACTTGCCGAAGTGGTGTGATGAGCACTGATTGTGAGAGGGTTCAATTGTAGTCATTAAGTGTTCCTGTTGAGCTAAAGTTGGAATGCGTCTGTAGTTAGATCTTTACTCAACATTTTAAACGGTTTTTTTCAAGTATATAGCTTTTTTTATTGGTATTAATCAACTTTAGATAGCCGATTCCAGGATGTACATTGATGACGCGATCGTTGGATATATGGCCTTGACTTCAACATAGACGCACAGTGAACAAATGTGGTGAACTAATAAGGAAATCATGGGGAATGATACTTTAACGCTTTGGTATTCCTGGAACGGAAATGGTTTGCATTGTACTGGAAATGTGTGAACATAGGACATAATAAATATTCCCTTCGAGTTTTGACGTAAAAATGATTGCAGATGAATAAAAACGTATTTTTAACAAATGTTTGTCCGTTCTTTATTTTATAATGTTCCTAGCAAAAACATGTTAAGATAATTTCAGGTGGAGGATCTCCGTCACACAAGTGTGCCCTTAACCGGCAGCATCTTAGCTGTCTACCCTATTAACACGTGTTCCTTGAGGGGAAAGGCCCCCGTAGTTAATCGTTCATCAACGTACCAGTCCCAAATCCCGAAGTATGTCGGGGATAAACTGTACTCTATAACATGTAAACTGTTATACTATACACGATAACACTAAACATTAAACAATTATAAACTAGTGTTTTAAATTATAACCATATAAACGTATGTAACGTATTATAATATCATCAGAAGCATTATAATCACAGTGTGGTTGTATAATAATCGCACTCTGCTCATGTAACACTCAAGTGACAGAACTCAACAAAAAAACGCCGCAATAAAAAGAACAACATCTATGGACAAATCCTAAAAACAGACAACACACGCACGTTAGTAGCTGTTAGCAGAAGACAACACCGAGCACCTTCAACTATACACATCATACAGCCAACTCGTAAATGGGGCGGTATATGACAGCCTTCGCTGCTGTCGACGGAGCCAAGCAGCGAATGTTTAACTCCATTGTTTCAGAATCCGTGTCATCACCCGGCCACAGCGCCTTAGCCAAACTACATCTCCCCAACAAGGCAGCCTTCCCTATGCTGTGTATTTTAGCAGTATATTTACTGACGCACTTGAAGATAACAATTAGTCTAGAAATGGCAGCCGACTTGTTCTACCAACATGATTTCAATTTATATCCGAAAGAAGTATGAGTTCATTCATGAGTAGTATTCACTAAGCCCCGATAGCACTAACCTACACACAGTTATGATTAAACAAAGTAAAAATTAGTCGCTCATCCCGAGCTCAGACATGATCATAGCAATTATTTCCAAATCCTTGTCGGGTCCCACGAGAACAGGGGGCCTCGCTCGCGTGGCGACAGCGATCGCCTCACTCCTCCGCCGCGTGCTGCTTTGTGGTGGCAGGTCCACCGCCCAGTAGGGGTGGTGGCGGTGGTCGTGCATCGGTGCCAACCGTGACCGCTATCACCACACTACCCACTCACCCCGTGATACTCGCTACACACACCACACGGGTCCCCAGAGAGACGGTGCCACTGGGACCACAGCTGGGGAATGAAGCTGAGCAGCAGATGCCAGGACTACAGCGGAGAATGACTGCTGCCGGCGCAGCCAATGACATCGCCTGTTGCAATCCTTGCTCTGTGTGCGCGCGAGTCAGTGGGGAGGGGGGTGTGGACGTCATCGCTCACCCCCCATGCACAAATCATTTTCTTTTTAACTCCTCTATACCCGGTCGATATCCCTGTACCGGTATTAGTATTATTCCTACCAGCCCACCCCGCAGGGTCCTGTTTTCAAATACGTATTTAAAAATATGTTTTCAATTTTTTAAAAATTTAGAATGTCGTTGTCCATGTGGGGAGCGCAGTGGATCGTTTCGTCTAAGTTGCTTTTCGGAATCCGCGTGATAACCCAGTCACATCGCCTAACTCCAGTCAAAGCACCTTACCCAAACTACATCTCCCCACCAAGCAGACTTACCGCTGCTGTGTATTGTGTTTATGGGATAACAGAGGTGTGTATTATCCCATACGCCTTGACCAAAACGACTGATTGTCCGCTTAACACCATAGGCCGTAAAACACTATTGGAGACAGTGTTGTTTGAGAGCAGCTTTTAAAGTCGAGTGTGGTCACTACGCGTCTGTACGTGCTCCCTCCCGAAGCTTGGCGGTTTTTGGCAACGCCACGGGGCTGCATTCACTTTAAATTGAGGACAACGGAGGGCATGGCGAACGTGTTTATCCATTTATTCAAAATTTGTTGTTGATAATAATTCGTCTGGACATGGCACGTGCCTTATTCTACTTGATTAACAAAAATTAGTACAATGCCATACAGTAGTGTGATTTCATTCATGAGTAGTATTCATAGAGCCCCGATGACACTAACCTACCTAAAGTTATGGTTAAACAACGTAATCTTGAGTGACTTAATTCTCAGCTCAGACATGATCATCGCAATCATTTCCAAAGACGTGTGGGGTCCTGCGAGAGCAGGTCCCGACTACAAACAGCTGGGCAGCAGAATCGTAAGTAGCTGCGTCGCCCTCGAAATGTGATGTTGCTGCTGTTGTTGTCGCTACTGTTGTTGCTGCTGTAGTTGCTTCTGTTGCTGTGATATACGCAGGGAGGTGGTGTTCCGTGATGGGATGACGCCTTTGATTAAAGCCTCTGATCAAACTCACCCGATTGACGCCCTTGATCGTCGCATTTGATCAACTCTGATATTGTATACTCTCACATCTTAAGCTCTATCATAGTGAAACATAATATTATAACCTATGAACTACAACCTATCCATTGTAACGCTATTGGATTTCACTTCCTCGTCGAGAAGGCCGCTCTCTTCCTTTTCTAAAGTTATATGCTAATTTCTCTGCATTCACTTTGAATCGAGGACAATGTTTTTCCATTAATTCAAAATAAGCGCACAATTACACACTGAGATGCACTTACATATTCATGCATGAAGCACAATGGGCACATTACTCTTCGGTATGTTAATAGACATGCGGATTGTACCTTCCAAAATTAGCAATCGAATGCAAATATCCTGAGAGACAAAGGATTGGATCCTAGGGGGGGAGTTATAAGGAAGCTCAGAAGCAGAGCTCAATGCCATTTCGAGAGGGAACTTGATGAGGTTGGACGCTCGACTCGTCGCTCTGCTGATCGCCCTTCAACCGCGAGACAACGCAGCCTGGCGAGCACAATTGCTGTGTCGACAGTTAGGCGACTTTGCGTCGGGAGAGATCGTGGCGACATCTTCAGACGAGTTCTAGACATCCATATACCGTGAATCTCCAAGTAAGTGTCTATTATCGCGGATAAACTCTTAAACGTGTTTTGTCGTCATATTTACGGGATTTTTTTGCGTCTCGGTTAGACGCGAGTGTCGTTCTTGTTTTAGCAGTTAACGAAATCCAAAACTAAACGCTAAACATCCTTTCGGCCGATAGCGTACTTTTGATTCGATAACACCGCTGCTGTTACTACGCTCACATGGAGCAGAGACGCTCTCCACAGCCCCACGCACACGGAGGAAAGAAGCAATTCAATTGCTCTGTGTGTGGGAAGTCCTTTTCACGGCCATCAGATCTTCAGAGACACCAGAGAACACACACGGGCGAGAAGTCGTTCCTGTGTTCTGTGTGTGGGAAGACATTTGCACACTCATCACATCTTCAGAGTCACCAGAAAACACACACGGGTGAGAAGCCATTCCTGTGCCCTGTGTGTGGGAAGACATTTGCACAATCGACAACTCTTCAAACTCATCAGAGAACGCACACGGGCGAGAAGCCATTCCAGTGCCCTGTGTGCGGGAAGACATTTGCACAATCGACAACTCTTCAAACTCATCAGAGAACGCACACGGGCGAGAAGCCATTCCTGTGCCCTGTGTGCGGGAAGACATTTGCACAATCGACAACTCTTCACACTCATCAGAGAACGCACACGGGCGAGAAGCCATTCTTGTGCCCTGTGTGTGGGAAGACATTTGCAAAGTCATCACATATTCAGCGTCACCAGAGAACGCACACAGGCGAGAAGCCATTCTTGTGCTCTGTGTGTGGGGAGGCATTTTCACAGTCATCAACCAGGAACAGGCATCAGAAGGTCCACAATGATAGGAAACTGAAATCAAAAGCTGAAATTCAAGGTGCTGCAATGAGTTCTAAAGAAGTTTCCACCTTCGATCCCATGCAGTTGGATCCCGAGAGATGGCTGGATGTAATGGAGTGGCTCGAGAGTCAACCAGAGAGCTCGGGGTGACTGAAAAAAAATTACGTCATGTGGTTATACCTTTTAAATCCGTATCGAGTACTTTTGTGTATAATTTTGACCATTTTAGTTTTACAGTTTTTGAGAGTTTAATGACGTGCACAGTGGTGGTTTGTAATGTTATCGGATTACTTGCCGAAGTGGTGTGATGAGCACTGGTTGTGAGAGGGTTCAATTGTAGTCGTTAAGTGTTCCTGTTGAGCTAAAGTTGGAATGCGTCTGTAGTTAGATCTTTACTCAACATTTTAAACGATTTTTTTTCAAGTATATAGCTGTATTAATCGACTTTAGATAGCTGTTTTCAGGATGTACATTGATGACGCGTTCGTTGGATATATGGCCTTGACTTCAACATAGACGCACAGTGAACAAATGTGGTGAACTAATAAGGAAATAATGGGGAATGATACTTTAACGCTTTGGTATTCCTGGAACGGATATGGTTTGCATTGTACTGGAAATGTGTGAACATAGGACATAATAAATATTCCATTCGAGTTTTGACCTAAAAATTATTGCAGATGAATAAAAACGATTTTTTAACAAATGTTTGTCCGGTCTTTATTTATAATGTTCCTAGCAAAAACATGTTAAGATAATTTCAAATGGAGTATCTCCGTCACACAAGTATGTCGGGGATAAACTGTTCTCTATAACATGTCAACTGTAATACTATGAACGATAATACTAAACATTAAACGATTATAAACTAGTGTTTCAATTTATAACCATTTAAACGGAGCTAAGGTATTATAATATCATTAGAAGCATTAGAATCACAGTGTGGTCGTATAAGAATCGCTAATATGTATGTATAGTGTACGTGCAAGGATCGGATAAAAAATTATTACAATTACAACATGGTCATATTACAATCACGATTTTCACTGCTAGATGTCATCGATTAACAAGACGGAATATATTTATATAAATACACGCGCAAACCCATTATAAACGCATGCGATCATGAATCGTTACAATTTTATAACAATCACAAATTGTAACAAAGCGAAATTCCCACAAGCAAAACACCACGCTCACGTGACGAATTCTTAAACAAACTGCAACACTCAAGTGACAGAACTCAACAAAAAAACGCCGCAATAAAAAGAACCACATCAATGGACAAATTCTAAAAACAGACAACACACGCTTGTTAGTAGCTGTTAGAAGAAGACAACACCTAGCACCTTCAACTATACACATCATACAGCCAACTCGTAAATGGGGCGGTATATGACAGCCTTCGCTGCTGTCGACGGGGCCAAGCAGCGAGTGTGTGGGGGCCGTTGGCCCCCGGGGTCCCCCCCGCCTTCATCCCCTATTCCGTTTACGTTACCCCACCTCCCTATTACCCGCTACGGTTTCGCCGGCATTCGAACGCGACGCCCCTACTGTTACAGCCTCGCGCCGCGCTCCCACGCTGCGAGCATACGTGCGCACAGCATCATCAATCAAACGCCGTGCTCGCAGTATAGCCCTGTGCGGCACGTTACCAATGCGCATCCGTATCCGACACGTAACGAACGTACGCACACACACACACCGCGTCGTGCACTCCAACTCCACACGGACTACTCAAGTTACGATCGCGCACCTGTATCACACACGGAGTGAACACACACGACACCCACTCTCGCACCGCTCTGCGCAGCGCTCCCCCGAGGCGAGCCGCAGCACTACAGAATCACTGCGTACACACGCGCAACCCGCGCGCTCAGCTCCGCGCAGCGCTCACTCACGTGGCGAACCACTGTGCACACAGCGCACCCACACGCTCACACTGCACGACAAGATCACGCGAGACCACGCTTCGCTATTAATGATTTATTATATGCTACCTGCGAATTGATGTTGAATCAGTGAGTCGACGAGGCTGGCCTATTCCACTAAACCTGTACCTATTCCCTATTTATCGGCTTACGATACCCTACTTCACCTCCCCACTCACAGCGCACCTCGATGCGTCGCGCGGACGCCCGGGTCGCTGGCTGGAGCCGCGGCTGGTCCGCTGGCCTGGAGAGAAGAGAGCGATTTCCCCTCTGCGCCCCTCTATTTATCCTCCCTACCTCAAAGGGGATGCTGCGCTGAACAATGGGCTCGTGCACCTCGAGCCCGCGCACGGCGGTTCCGGGCGCTTTTGATCTGCTAATCAGTGAGCGGCGTTGGCGGCGTACATCCTAATTAATCCCTTACCCTTCTTAACAATGGGGCCTGCGCGCTCAAGCGTAATTATCCCAACCCGCCATGACTATGCGCAACAGCTCCTGCGGTCCCGTCGACCCGTGGGGGTGTGTGTGGGGGGAAATGCGCCTCAACCGCGGTGGCCGAATGCCCCACGCCGCGACCACACCATATTAAGGCCGGCCGCAGCGCCGCGGTGCCACGTAGCACGGGGGAGGTCATCCAATTCCCTGATCGCCGGAAACCGTGAGAATTAATCCCGATAAGGGTCTCTCGGATAAAAACCGGTCGGCCAGGCGACCTCCCCTCGGAGCTCTATGGGGGGGGGGGGGAAATGAGTGCGGGTGTGTTCATGTGAGGTGAGGTGAGGGGGACGCGGGGTCGGCTCCGTTGCTTGGTGGTGGCGAGGTCGGGGATTTGGTGCCTGCCGAACGGCTTCGTGGCGGCGGCATCACAGTATTATTAGTTTTGAACAACAAAAATGGAGGTTCGTGATTATTATCGCATAATAATAATTATAATTGCACTGTGATAATGTTAGAATCACACTTTGGCCATATGCATGTTAAGTGAATGCGAACCGGGGGTAGGATATGCAAGATTTGAATCTCATTACAATTATTAAAATCCCACTGTAGTCGCATTAGAATCAAACTGTCCACTGTTGGATGAAAGGGGAAAAGCAGCTCCGCCTGCGCAGACAGCAGCAGCAGAAGTGCGGGAGCAGCAGAAGCAGCAGCAGCAGCAGCAGGCGCTGCCACCGCGGCAACAGCAGCTGCAGCAGCAGCAGCAGACCTCCACCGACGCTGCTGATGGTCACGCGCAGCCAATGACTGACGGCGGGGAAGATGGTTTCACCGTCGTTGAGTCGAGAAAGCGGAAGGCGAGAGGAGGCAATTCGGGGGGGGGGGCGCGGTGGCACCCTTCCAAAACGCGTGGCCGCCGCCGAGAAAGACAACAGCGACAGTGACGAACGGGACAACCGCCCGAACGCAACAGCAGGGCGCGGCGGTGAGGCCGAGCCACAGGGTGCGGTGGTCGTCATTGACGAGGCCCACCGGCCGGTTGATGCCGAGGCAGAGGGGCGACCACCAGACCCGGACTCGGCTGCCCCGGAAGGGGGGGGGGGGTGCTGGAAGCCACCGATTAGCCTGCCGATGACACGGCGCTCGGGGGTGACGACCAGCTCACCTCCTCACCCGACCAGGTGAGGGAGGCAGAGGCCGCAGAGGGGAGCCGGCCCGAGTTGGAAGACACCTCCGATCGGCACGGTGCGTTGGAAGAGGTAACCACCGAGCCTCACACAAGCGTGCCGGGAGACTCAGACGACGGAGGGTCGGAGTTAGAGATAGAAGACAACTTGAGTGAGGGGAGCAACTCACATGTTAAGAAGAAACGAGAGTACACACCCGGCAAGATTGTCAAATTCCTCCGAACTAGTTACAAGAAGCGGGGGGTCGACATCGGAGATTCTTTCCCCGATGTGCAGGCCTTCTTGAAGGTCGCGCAGACAATCATCAGCGACATGGAAAAGCACAAATGCACCCCGCAGGAAGGCAATCGGCTGAGGGGTTTCATGCAGAAAGCAAGAAAGGGGAGCATGTTCCAACCGGAGTGCCGCCCCGCTGATGCTGTTGCTGAAGCCGACGCCTAAAGCCATGTCTTCCTCAGGTGTAAGGATCGCGAGTTTAAACTGCAACGGAGCTCGAAGCGATCAGAGGTGGCACCGCATCTGCAGCTTCATTAGCGAGCAGAAAGCGGATGTGACGTTTCTGCAAGAAACGCACCTTGACGCAACTCTGCAGCCCCAGCGCCAGCACCTCTTGGGCAGCCAGACCTTCTTCAGTCACGGAGAAGACAACCGCGCTGGTGTTGCAATTGTGTTTAGTCCAAAGTTTCTCCCAGAAGGCGTGGCCTTCAGAGAGATCCAAAAAGGCTATCTGATATCTGTAGACTTCGTGTTAAACAACACGAGGCTACGGTGTTTCAACGTTTATGCGCAGAGTAAGACCAGTGAGAGGAAACGCTTTTTCTCTGGCACACTGCGGAATGCCTTGGAGGCAGGCAGTGCGGACGGGGTGCTCACGGTCGTGGGGGGAGATATGAACTGCACCCTCGACCCGGCTCTCGACCGCAATAGTGCTGAGCCCCACCCGGAATCCGCACGGCCATTAGCCGACATGGTGCAGCAACTGGGTTTGCTCGACACGTGGCGACTGCAACACCCAGGCCAGAGGCAATACACTTGGTGCCGCGCGGGCCTGCAGGGGAGGATGAGCCTCGCCAGGCTGGACCGGCTGTACATCAGTGCGGACAGCGCTAACCGGCTCGGGGGCAGCAACATCACCCCGTCCGGTTTCTCTGACCACCACCTGGTCTCAGCACTGCTGCGAGTCCCCAGGGAGAGGCGTCGCTGCCCCTACTGGAAACTCGACGTGCAGCTGCTTGAGGACGAAAATTTCACGGAGGCATTCAGGGCCTGTTGGTCACACTGGGCAGCAACTAGGAGCAGTTTCAGCTCTGGTCAGCGATGGTGGGAACACACTAAAGCGCAAATTAGGGCCCTCTGTCTACAGCTTTCGAGCCAGCACGCCGCCGCCAAGGAGGAGACGGTGAAACACCTGGCGAGCGAGCGAGCTGCTGCTGCTCGAGGCTGAGATGGGCTCGGCCCAGGACGCGCACAACAACGAGGGCGAGGTGCTGCTGGAGAAGCGGCGACTTTTTAGGGCCGTCACGGACCAACAGGCACATAGTTCGTTTGTGCACAAAAAGGTGCAACACCTGGCACAGACGGATTCTCCCTCAAAGTATTTCTTTAGGCTAGGCAACAGACCCTCGAGCAATGAGAACGACATTTCAGGGTTGCTTACCCCAGAGGGGGAGACAGCAACTGCCGAGGGGGAAATTGCTAGGATCGCGAAGGACTTCTATTCACACCTGTTCAAGGCTGAGCACGTACAGGACGAGGCGGTTGAAGAACTACTAGCTGCGGGCCCTACTCTGGGGGACGCGGAGAGAGACAAACTGGAAAGCCCCGTCACCCTGGAGGAGCTGCACACTGCCATGAAAAGTCTGGCAGCTGGCAAATCCCCAGGGATCGATGGGCTGCCAGTTGAGTTCTACGAAACTTTCTGGGATGTACTCGGCCCTTGCCTGCTGGGGCTGCTGGAGGAGAGCCTGCGGGACGGGGAACTCCCGCAGAGCTGCAGGAGGGCGGTGGTCACCCTGTTGCCTAAGAAGGGGGACCTGCGTCGCATAGAAAACTGGCGGACCGTCTCCCTCCTGTGTGCCGACTATAAAATATTCGCCAAGGCGCTGGCAAACCGCCTCAAAGAGGTGGTGGATCAGCTCGTGCAACCCGAGCAGGCGTATTGCATCCCCGGCCGCTGCATCTATGACAACATCGGCACGGTCAGGGATGTGATCTCCCTCGCGGATATGCACGACGTGGATGCGGGTCTCCTATTCATGGACCAGGAGAAGGCGTTCGACAGGGTGAGCCACGAGTACCTGAGAAGACTGCTCCTCTCCTTCGGGTTCGGCCAGAACTTCACGGCACACGTGCACCTCCTATATACGGGCATATCCAGCCTCATAAAAATCAATCAAAGGCTTGGCTGCCCTGTTCCCGTGACAAGAGGAGTCAGGCAAAGGTGCCCTCTCTCGGGGCTCCTCTACACCCTGTCCCTTGAGCCGCTCTTGCGACGCCTGAGAAACACCTTGTCCGGGTTCAGGGTCCCGGGGCCGGAGAACGCAGTCATAAAGCTCTCCGCATATGCGGACGACGTATGCGCCGTGATCAACGACGCGCAGGACGTCGCTGCACTCTGCCGGGCGGTGGAGGTCTATGAAAAGGCCTCCTGCGCCAAAGTCAACTGGCGGAAGTGTGAGGCGTTATGGATGGGGTCACAAGGTGCAGTGAGTTCCGTGCTCCTCCCAGGCGGAGTCACCTGGCAGGGTGAGGGCGTGAAGTATCTCGGAGTGTACCTAGGGAAGCCCCAAGTCGTTCACAAAAACTGGACCGAGATGAGCGACGTATTTGATGCTAAACTGAGAGCGTGGGCACATCTCGCCCCACAAATGTCCTTCAGGGGGAGAGTGCTCATAGGGAATAACCTGGCAGCCTCGGTGCTGTGGCACAGAGCCAAGGCCCTCCAACCCCCGGGCTGGTTATTCACGAGGGCGAACAGGTCGCTTGCCCACTTTGTCTGGAACGGCAAGCACTGGATGAGGCCAGGGGTCCTCTGCCTGCCGGTGGGTGAGGGCGGCCAGGGCCTGGTAGACGTCACCGCTCGAGTGATGAGCTTCAGGCTCCAGGCCGTGAGAAACTTGCTATATGAACAAGAGGAGCTGCCCCGGACGTCGCTGGCCCTCGCCCTGCTGAGAAATGCGGGCGGGCGGCTGGGATATGGGAGGGAGCTCTTCCTTATGGACCTGTCCCTAGTCGATTGCACCGGACTGCCGGGCTATTACCAGAGCCTGTTGGAGGCGTGGCGGAGCCTGGAATGGAGCAGGGCGAGCCCGCACCACGGCCTTACACAATAGCCTCCTCGATGGAATCAGGGAGGAGGGAACGCTGGCCCTCCGTTTCGCCTCGGCAGGAGTGCGAACGGTTAGGGATCTTGTGAAGAGCCAGGACGGCCGCTCCAAATGGAAGAACGCGGCTGAGGTGAGCGGTGCCGCTGGGCTCCGCTCCATGATGGCCGGAGAAAAGTTGTTGCGAGAGGCGATCGCGGCGATGCGGAAGCTGCGTTTGCAGCTAGAAACGCCAGGAAACAGCGGTGCCACACGGCCGCCGCCCTCCTCCTCCCCCCCCCTCCCCTCCCCCCGCTTTCCAGGAGTTGCGCGTCTCCTGCATCCAGCCCCCCGGGCGCTGTGAGGCAGGGAGGTTGCTCAAGCTCGCGAACTGCAGAGACGTGGCCCTCAAGGGTGCCTCCAAGCGGGTGCTGTACGACTGCTGCGTCAAAACACTGCGGTGTCGAGAGCTGGAAAACCTACCGGACACGAAGTGGAGGGAGTTCTTCTCTCCCTTGATCGACACCACCCCCCAGTGGAAACAGCTCTACAAGGCCCCCGTTGCAAAGCGCAGCGGGGACCTCCAGTGGAGGCTGGCGCATTGGACGCTGCCCTCGGCGGCGTGGATCAGCAAGGTCACCCCGGGGGCATCAGACCTGTGCGTGTTCTGTGGCGCGAGGGAGGACCTCGCCCACCAGTACGTGGGGTGCTCGCGGCTGGACCCGCTGTTCAGACTCCTGGGAGCCGTGTTTAAGAAATTGGGGGTGCCCTTCTACAAGAGCGTTTTTATATGCGGGGTACCGTACCGGGCGGACAAGCGCCACATCCTGGCAAACTTTGTCTGCGCGCAAGCCAAGATGGCAGTATATAAAACGCGAAAAAAGAAACTGCGAGGTGACACGGACGATAGTTGTTCAGCGGAGGCAACGCTGAAAGGTCTGCTGAAAGCGAGGCTCCGGCTGGAGCACGCGTACTTTTTCCAGGTTGGAGATGCGCACGCCGTGTTCCAGGAGCGGTGGGGGGCCGGTCAGGCCCTCTGCACCAACACGAATGGTGAACTGACCTTCACTTTTTAATGATCGAGTCGAAACGGGCGTTAGACGCGGCGGTGTGGCGCGCTTGGCGGTGCGGGACACGCGCCGCGGTGTGTCACGCGGAGTGAGGCGGCGTGACGCACGTGGCATGGTGTAGCGCGCGCGGTGGTGCGGCACTCACTCAGCGGTGTGACGCACTTGGCGGCGCGGCACATGTGCTGAGGTGTGGCGCACGCGGCGGTGGGTCGCACCAGGTGGTGCGGCGCACGTGCCGTGGTGTGACGTGCGCGTCGCAGCATGGTGCATGCGGTGGTGTGACACACGTGTCGCGGAAATCTCGCGGGGTGGTGGTGCGTGCGCAGCGGTGTGCACACGTGACGTAGATGAATGTGCACGTGGCGGTGTGGCTCGCGCGGTGGCGTGGCGCACGGGCTGCGTTATCTAGCGGTGGTGATGTTACCGATGACTGTGACCTCGAACCATCAGGGGAGGAAGTGTGGAATAAGCGGGGGGGCCCTGCCAAGCAAAGAGGTGCCAAAGCTCGAAATGACACAGCGCGTCGGATGCTGTTGCGCGGCCGGTGCGTGGGGATTGTGGTGCCGGCGTTGCGCGTCGCGGGGCGGCGGTGGGATGGTGAGCTGTGCTTTTTGGTGTGGCCATTAAGGCTTGAATATTGCAAAATTCCAGGGCAATTTGCCGCTGGTGAATAAACTTATATAAAAGTCTATCTTGTTGTCACCACTTGTCCCTTAGTTGATGCACTGTCTTTACATCACCCACCTCTATGACCTCTACCTGACCCCGCCATGGGCGGAGTAACTTGGGGGACATACCCGGTGGCACCTGTGGGCAATACAACCATGCCCTGTCCCCCACTGCCCATGGAAGCACGTGCTCCCGACGGCCCGAGTTCTTTTCGTTAGCGGCTTGTGCTCTGGTGGGGAAAGGTCCTCGTTATGAATCGTTTCGCAACGTTCAGGTCCAGAATAGCGAAGTATACCGGGAATCACCTGCAGTTAAAAATATGTAAATTGATAACACTATAAACAATAACACTAAACATTAAACGACAAAAAAAGATATCAACTGGTTTTATAAATTATAG